GACCCATCGACCATCTATGGCGCTTCAGCAATTTCAGTCATGAAAAGCAGCGATTTAGTTCATTTACTTACTTACCCTATTTTACACTGCTAATTTTATGAGCACAGATTTGATGATTTGGATGCATTTCCTACAAGAACTTATTCATAAAAAATATTACTTGGTACTGTCAAATTATGAGTAACAATCTATTTATCTGTTTATCTGAATAAATACGTTAGCCTCCAAACTTTTTATATGGTTTTGAAATGCTAAAACTTTGCAGCTTTTTAAAAATTGCAAAACTTGATCACATATAAAAGTGTGTTTCTATAGTGATCAGATTTGTTTGTTGATATTCCTGATTGATAGGATTCTGATTTCTGAAATGTTCACGACTATCTTCTTTTCAAAGAACAGAGTTTTGCTTAAGAGAACCAAAATTTCAAATTTAATCTAGTGAAGAAGGCTCTAGACATGAAACATGAAGCCTAATACCAGGGTGCCAAGAACAGGTCAAGTTATTGTAACTAGTGAGGTATCAATTGGTGACAACGTGCAATATAAATTTGTATCATATCTGTCAAAGAGTAATGAACCATCACATTCCAGTTTTGGCTGTAATGGCCGCCAAGTGGTAGTAAAAGTTAGGACTGTATAGTTCCAAATCTATTTAAAGTATAATCTGTAGGACAAATAATGGGTGCGATTGTCTTTCCCATAGTCTAGGGTATAAAATAGTTACACGCAAATCTATTCAGGCTGCATTTGGTGATTTCAGAGAGCCTATTTCAAGGTTCAATTAAATCCATATCGCATCGCAGTTTGCGAATCAAAATAACCACTTTGACGATCGGCATTTTCGTGAAATTAACTAGATTAGTCAGAAATAAAATTTGTTATCAATTGCTAATCAATTTTTTTTCAATCAATCAATTGATCTTTGATTTGATTTGATTTCAGTTCATTTGACCTTAACAATAGAGCCAGAAGTAACCAGAAGTTAATTTTATAACGTGTTTAAATGGTTAAAAGGTATTGTGAAGTTGAATAAGTGAATACTATTACTATCAGTTACTACTTATATTTAACACATTAGTCAGAATCGGTATAGTCGGCTTAGTTTGTAACCTCTATGTATGGTTGGCATGGTTACACGTTTAGATTTAGATACAATATAGCTTATTTCACTCATAGCAACCTGGCTTCTGAAGTTCCTCTATTATGAGAAAATTAGAAAATATTGGTTTTTTATGAAGTTAAAGTAGAATCCTCTTTTAGTCTTTGGTCTCCATAGTAATACACAAAATTGATATACTAACCTAATTACGATTATTTGAAAATTATTTACTTTAACGTTTGTTGAAATATCAGAAATGTCTAGTGATATTTATGAGTACGCATTTCAACAAGTTTGGCTCAAAATTGAAATGAGAATCGAAATACCTACTCGAAAACAATACAGATCCCAAGATGTCCTTTATTGATTATAATTAATAATATTGTTAGGTTGATGATGATTTTAATAAATGCTAAAAATATAATGATGTTCAATTTGAAGGTTGCAGAATGGTATGGATGATAATATTAATTTACTTTATAATTGGAGAATTATTCAATATAGGACGTATTTTGAGAATGCCCAAATTAGCGGGTGACATATCACGCTAATTTAACAAGTTGCTTTGTAATCTGATTCTAAGCTGTCAAGTAGGCGTAATACAGACTATGTGTCTACCAAAGTTTATGAATGTGTACAAGGAACGACATTGTTGTAATGATTATTTCGATAATAAACATAGGAGTTCATTACTACTGCGTACCAGTTTGTTGTTAAACTAGTTAATTATAATGGTACAGAAAAGTACTTAAATATAATGACAATTTTCAACCATTACCAACTTAAGAGATTTTATTTATTTATTGTGTCTTAACATTTATCAGTTAAATAACTTAAATGAGAAGTTGACAAAATTACAAAATGTCAGTCATTAAAAAAAACCCAAAACCCCCAAAAATGGAAATAAAGGGCACTATTCTAGAACGTATTTAAAAAGGTCAATGTTGGTTATTACCAGTGACCTTTGTTCCTGTATGATATGGTACAGTGTCGATTACTTCACTTATTATGAGAAATAATTTAATGACCTATAGTCACTATGCGTCATAATATATATGGAATACTTCATAGATATAACTTCTCTTTAATAATGTAGAAAACAACAAAATACAAAACAGTTGGCCTATTACATATAAAAGATGTTTTTTTCGAAAATCGAGAGTTTAATTTGAGCTTGATATATTTGACAAGTTAATAAGTAGACAGAAAATAATCCGATCAACCCACATTACTTTAACTTTATAATGAAGTAGGTTCAGGTGACAAAATATAAAAGTTATTTTCAAAATATTATTTTGTTTCTCATTCTGTAAAGATTGTATATTAAATCATGCATTAATCCTACAGTTTCTCGTGGTCAACATTATATATATATATATATATATATATGTATATATACGACTCTTATTTTTGCTTATTTATTTATGCTCCGCATAATCTTATACGAGAATCTATTTATAGCATTCAAGGCAAAAATGTATTATAAAGGGTAAATTCTCTGTAAATTCTGACATGTACTCTGTCAGGGGGCAGTTAAGGGAAAAGGTATTTTGTTGAATTTGGAATAACTGAGGTTATTTTTCTGGCAAAATTTCACATCCTAATGAAATATAACGATAATATCAGCTAATTATAACAATTTATCACGACAATTATAGCAATCTTGTATTACATGAATATGGGAATCACAGACCTATACTTTCATTGTTGGCCAATTTGTAGAAAGTTTGATTTAAACAACAAACACAGTTATAAGATTAGTATAAAACATATAGTTAGCTGTAGAAAGGTAGCACACCTTTATAAACCCTTCCCCTCTAATGTTACATTCAAGATCAAAACAATTAACTGGAAAACTCGTTTCAAATAGAAACAATTAGAAGCTTTGTCATGACTGCACAGAACATGTTACTAGCAACTCCATACCTGTGTACCAATAAAAAAGCCTGTAACACCAGATACGACACAATATGACATGACACGACACGATAAGACTTTTCAATACATACCGAAATTGATTGAAACGGCACGACAAATCGAAATACAACCCAAAAAGTAAAATCGACTGCTCGTACCCAGTATGTATGGTCTATGAAGTTTATAATTTATTCTATTTTTTTGTCGTGTCCCACCATGTTGTCTATCTGATGTAGGCCTATAAAGGTCTTCACTCTTTTCCTTATTATTCATAACATCTAAGTGTAAACGAGACAATAGGTCTGTCTGTCTTATGACTCCGTAAAAATTCTTATTTGAAACAATGTCATTCTATTGTAAAGTTAAATGAATAAATGCTAGCTGGATTTCTATTCGACGTTTTGTTTTTAAACATACAAAGTAATATTGCCAAATTGCCACTCGACTTCATTCGACTGTTTGGAATATAGTATAGTTAATAAGATAAAATTTGGGTCAAATATAACTTATCTCATAAATTTTTCTGTCTCGCTCTAGGAAAATATCGACAACTAATTCATTGGGAAATCAATGGCTTCGTGCCTCCTACCGACATCTTCATGTATATTTACCCCAGCTTCTACAGTTGAGATCAGCTTTTTAATGTAATCAACGAACATCCAATCTCTCGTTCAAATTACGGTCATATTAAGGTCACTGGAAATAAAACGATAAAAACCTGCAATTTATTACATTTCACGCCAATGTGGCAAACTCTCTGTCGATAATGAATTTTCAACGATTAATTACGTTTAAATCTGATCAATGAATCTCAGTCCACTATCTGGTTTGTTTTTATTGAAGAATACCATCATTACCCATTTCACCTAGTCATAAAAAAATGTTTGAAAGAATATTTTATATTTCAGTATCATTTATCACATGCTCAAAATCTGACCTATTGGTGGAGTTATTGAAAAATCGTAATTTAATAGTATTCAATAACAGCTGGAGATAAACAACTAACGGGAGTGAATTATTAGGAAGTCAGATTAAGTGAACATTTTTTGAATATTTCTTTTGCCGATCAAATTAAATTGTACCTGTAAAGATTGATCAATGCTAAATGATAAAAAATCAATGAATGTAAAAAAAATCGGCTGTCACTGGGGCATATTTTAGAGATGTTCAGGGAGATTTTAATTCAACAATCGACGGTAATATGCCTTTACGCAAGTGTTTCCGTGTCCGGAACGTATTGTCATTTATATAACACCTTGTCACCTAATATAACATCGGGAGAAAATTTTAATAGAAATCAGATATCAGCGTCTCTCTGTCGTCGCCTTTTCATCAGCCAGCCGAATCACAATCGTGTATACCTTAAGTGTACCGTAATTCATAGGGAGAACGTACATACAACCAAAATCAATCCCATATTGTACATTCCAGTGAGTTTCCCATTTTATTTCATCCCATAGGACACGATCTGAACTCTGACTTGATACCGATCAGTAAATTTGTTGGATCAGTTAATATCTTCATCTGGCAGTTGTATGGTTATAATTATGTCCCGTAATTCCTGCTTGGGTTTATCTCAACTCGTCCAATACACATTATTGTCAGGCATTATTTATAGACCTTCTTAAAAGCAGGAATGAAGCGATTCTATATCGATTTAAACCTCCTTGCCTTGTGGCGAATTGGGACACAATTTTTCTAATGCCGGGTTTTTGGTCGGTTAGATAGTAAGACTGAAGCTCAAGACGACAAAAAAACCCATACTCTAGACATTTGGCGACTCGATGTTTCACGAGGGTTGAGTAGTTGTCAAATAGTCTCTCTCGAGAGGATAATGTCCATGTTGCTCTGTTTAGTGCATTTAGTATTTATCTTCTGGTTTGTAGGTGTGGGATAATAAGACTCATTACATAAACCAGTTATGCTATACACAGTCCCACCGATAAAATGTTAGCATTGATATGATCTATGGACAAACTGAAATCTTGAGTAATAAACAGGATTTTATTAGAAATTCTACAAGTATTCTTATCCACTGAGCAAAAAAGTAAACAAGACGAAAAATTCACAAAACAAGCGGCGTTTGTTTAATTACCGCTATTGACATCAACTAATTCTAAGATTATTAAAAGGGCTAATTTACATAACAAACTATGGGTGTTTCTACAGGGTCTTGCATCTAGTTTGATAAAACTGAACTTTGATTTTATCATATATATCACTTAGAATTGTTCTTAATGATACTAAAAAGAATCAAATACCAAAGTACCGATATTTATAAGCAAGATCAAGTCCCTGTAGAAATAACCAAGAATAGCCTAAAGAGGCAATGAGTTGCATAAGACATGGACACATAATACCAATTCTAATGAAATCGTCTCTGTATGTTAACACTACTGTTTGTTCACTTAGCCTGACCTGAAAAACTGATGCTGAAAGGCACAGGATTAAATTTGATATAATCTCTTTAAGGAAGAAGTAGTAAAAAAATCTCGTCTCTTATCGCGTTAAAGATGAGTATTACAAAGAATGGTGTGAACACGGTAAGAGACGGATGCTCCAGTTTATATTTAATATTTATAAACGTGAGTAGATAGCTGCAATAATAGCAAGAGGAAGCAACATAAACATGCTTTGAGCTTGGATGAAACCTGGAAATAGACAATAAACAACATAAATATACATTATACAGTCAGCAGCAAGCAGTTAAAAACTTTTTACCAAGCTATTCGTGTTCCAATTGTCAAAGGATTTTAGCGTGCAGTGATACCATAAACTAACTTTTACGTCCTCATTTTGCCGATTTGACACTTTACCACACCGTTCCAATTCTATACACTATTGCTGCCAATTATTTTGCATAACAAATCTACAGGAAATCAAAAATGCTAACAAGAGAAACCTTAAGTACAATAAGGTGAAAATTTGTCTGCAGATTTTTGCGTCTCCATACTGGATGTATATTATTACTGTAACAAATTTGAACCGATAACAAGTTCAAGTCATTGGACAACTTACCAGCAGCTGAATCACCGCATGCTTTTTTAAAGTTTTCTTTGGCCATATCTAATGGTTTCTGAACGGATTCTTTGTTATCACCTAATGCTGCACAAGTATTAATAACATTTTCCATACATTTAATAGCTTCTTTTCCAACTCTAAGATATATAATATGGGTTTGATAGATTTTCAAGTGAAATTTTTAATGTCATATAAAATCATCTTCAGACAAATTTGTGTGATCTATGAAAGGATAAACATTGCTATGCTTAAATATATACTTAGAGTAGGGTAATTGTAAGGATATTGTGACACGTTGGCTCAGGAAAACTGGGGATTCAGAGCATCTGCTTAGATCCCTCACACACAGTCGACATGAGCAAAGCGCTAAATACAAGTAACCGTGATCAACTGGCCATTCTAATCAACGACTTTTGGCTCAGATTCACTAAATCCGTCGATTGATCACATTCTCCAACATGTCAAGTTTCTCGCCAACTTTGCTGACCTGATCCTTCCCAAAGCAACAAATACAATGATATTTACACTTTTGTACAGAGTTTTACTTACGGGCAAGCTTCTTTGGGATTTTGATAGTCTACATTTTGCAAATCAGCAATACATTTCATCACATCACAATCACCAGCTACTGCTGTTACAACAACTGAAATTACAAATAAATACAATGTATATAAATACAAGACTAGTCCTACATTTTTCATGAGTCTACTCTCGTCAACTATTATTGACGACATTTCCTGTCAAACCTAGTCAGCTAAACTAAACCTTCCTTTAAGAAGATTATATACTGTGTAGCCAATGCCTTTATTTTCTAGTACCCTCTGTACCTCACACACTAACATGACACAGATTTCAAGCGTTTACATCCTGTCAGTCTAACATGTTCTATTTAGTGACAGAAAAATTTTAAGATTTAAGAGATTAATTGAAAAACAATAAATGAATATTAAGATTGTGTTATGGACACGAAACATCAATTATTAAATTTCAGGGTAATGGTGAAAGCAGCTGACATTTATTTCGATACCGAACATCACACAGCTTAAAACATCATTAATAAAATGAAAGTTTGCTGAAACATTCCTATCATGATCGTGTGATTATACACAAGTCTTGAATCATGTTAATGGTGTTATTAAAAACGGTCCCTATACCATGTCTGTGCACAGCTTATTTATCATATTTATGGTGTGATTATACACAGCACATTTATCATGATTTAACACAGGTTGTGTAACATGGTGATGTGATTTTACACAGGTCGTTTATCATGTAGGTATGATTTTACACGAGTCGTGGATCGTATTGCTTTGATATTACACAGGTCGTGTATCATGTTTGTATAATTTTACACGGGTCGTGTATCATGTTGGTGTGATTTTACACAGGTCCTGTATCATGTTGGTATGGTTTTTTTTACGCAGGTCCTGTATCATGTTGGTATGATTTTACACAGGTCTTGTATCATGTTGGTATGATTTTACATAGGTCCTGTATCATGTTGGTATGTTTTTCTTACACAGGTCCTGTATCATGTTGGTATGTTTTTCTTACACAGGTCCTGTATCATGTTATGATGGGCTGTTTAAGTTTGGAATGCATTTTGAGCTGCTTATTTTTTCATTTCGTGTGATATACGGCTCCATTGTTCATGATGCATATTTTATATGTCTTGTATTTCAATAAGAATTCTGCTGAAAAATAGATTAGGTAAGACTCCATTCATTTCATATCAGTTTGTAATGTATGGTGAAATAATTATAAAGACAAAAAACCTCTTCCACCAAAAGCTATAAAGTTTTAAAGTTTGTATGAAGAATAAAAAATCGATTCAATTCAGATCAAATCCCCACTGCGCAATAATATGTAGTTGTGTCGTAGATTTTCAAGATTTAAATGCAATTGTGTGTTTTCAACAATGGACGTGAATTTTCGAATATTCTAAAAGTGAAAAATAAGCTTCTAGTGGTTTCACATTTTATCAGACAGGATATAATATGCAGAGTTATTGATTCAACTCCAAGATATAATCATTTCAAGAGCCGTCATAATATTACAAAATTATATTACAGTCAAGTATGAATGAAACAATAGATAAAACAATGATGAAACCCAGGGGTCAGAGGTGTGATAACAGAGGGATGAAAGAATAATAAACAAAATAAGTTACAGGAATAACAGGTATAGTTCAACAATTATGTTGTAAAACAAAATATCAAGTGCTCTAACACAAACTGTCAAATAGAGGATTAAACCCAATGACAAAATATATAGCCTAATATTAATTTGTGCGTGTACATTGAGTGCTTAATAATAGTTTGAAATGTTAAGGGTTGTCGCTATCAACATTTGTGAAACATGCTCTTTCTACACTTGAGCAATACTGGTACAACAATTTGTTGAAGCAAATGGATGGCCTAGAGAGGGAGAGGCGTGTTTTAAGGCCATTTTGGCAATTGTTGTGGACATGAGGTGGGTGCGCCGAAATGAGGGTAAATCATAGTCTCGGGTTCATCAAAGCAGCATCGAGCGTACCCTTGAATTCGTGTTTTTTTTATTCCAGTTCATCCATGGCTGTCATTTTGTCAAGATGACCTCAAGTTGGCATCACACGAGTCTGTGAGTCACACTCTGTTGCAGAATGTTGATGAAATGGTGTAAACCATCTATATATACGAGCCTACAAACAAATCTACCAACAAATCCCAACAAAAATGCCCTGGCAGTTCCTCTGTGTAACATTATACAAGTAACAACATTTCTCCAACATGGTGATAAAACCCCAGATGTTAGGATAATGTTGGAGTAAACGTTGCAAATATAAATATGAACGAAAAGTGATAAAGGCAATGTACAATCTCTTTGTCCTATGAGTGGGGGCTCGTAAACTTAAGAGGTTGGGGGCACCGGTCCTGGGAGACTTTTATTATATATATGCTTTCATGTCTGAGACAACTCTTTTTAATGCTTGTTAATGGAAGATTTTAAGATTTCAGTCTGCAGTTATTGCTATTTCACATGTCATATATTGCTGGTTGCTCAGTTTGATTATAATAGACTCGATTTGCTTAAATAAAGTAGATTAATATGACGACATGCTTTGGTTTCTTTCAGGAATAATATATATATAGCCTTGAACTAGCAGTGTACGTTACTAGACTGGTATGTTCTTTGAGGCCACCACTCTGGTATTCTATCGCTAATGTTGGAATCAGCCCAAAACTAATAATAGCCTTGTCTCGATCGATACCCTCTCTTCTTATAAATACCGGTACTACATTCTGTTTCAAGCTCATCATCTACACGTCACTAGAATAACATATTTTCCATTCATATGCAGCAGGAAGATGAAGTGATTTTATTGATCGAAGATATTTTCTATTTATATTGCTTTACCATTTTATGATTTATCTTATATGTATTTTATCTTTATTACTTGTTTGTATCTAGTAAAAATTATGTCATGTCGATAACTAAAAGTGCTACGTTGAGTTAATACTATTTATAAATAGTATATCCATATGAGTCACAATCGATCGTACTGAGAACTCAAGGTCAAGATATTATTTTTGTGAACTTGTTAGTCTCAGCTAATAAACCTGCCAATACTCTATCTTATAGATAAACCTATCCTACAACATGGCTGTTTTTTTTCATCTGTATACCCATTCAATAATACAGACGAATCTTAACCTATATTGACAAGGTTCTAATGGACGCTGTGTATGGTGATAAAGAATACCATTAGCTCAACACCAATCTTTACACGTCACGCTCAATCAATTAATTGAATCACGCATCTTGTTGAGTGATGACGACATCCTTAATCTCAGTAATTCCTGAAGTCAAATAGTTAATTGAAAGGTTACGGAATATCGGATAACAGTTTCAGCTGCTGCTAATTTTTGCTGTAAAGGCTAATGGATGTACCAAAGTCTTACAAATTATGGTGTAGCAAAATACAGTTTTCCTTGAACTACACCTCCAGGGTTTTTAATACAGCAACGTACTTTCTGTTGAAATGAAGTGGAGACCCACTTTTATTACTGATTTTCTTGAGTTAAATCAATGTGTACTGCGACGAGAAGGATTTTGTTCCGAATTCAATGCTTGAATCCTCCATCTTATTTTAATATTTAAATGATCGTGCTTGTCGAGAAATAGATTTCACGTCCATATTGTATGACGGAGTCAATCCCATGCTGTTTCCACAGTCAGCAACAAAAGAGATATGAGATACACAAGTTTCTCCTTTTTAGAAGGAAAGAAACATCAATTACAAGGATAAGTCTTAGATTCCATAGAAACTATTCTACCATTTGGCCCTTGTCCAATACTCTTAGCATTGATTTATTATTCGATATTTCCGTACAAGTTTACATTTATTTTGACAATACTGAAAAAGATGTCTTTACTCATATACTTTCGACCGAATGATAGAGATGTGATAGTATGACCACATTCCTCAATTATAAAGTCTTGTTTCAACGTCGGTAAGTTTGCACGACATGCAAAGAATGGTTCTTATCCTTCACATTTTGGCACATTTTTCTCAAGATATTATTTTTAAAAAGTTGGAAAGGGAATGTAAACATAATTGAACCTTTGAATTTTTAGACTATCTGATTTTATGGGAGCGATAAAATTTTCTTTTCTTAAAATGTCGATTTTGGACATAATCAGTTCTCCCTTTGAGCCCACTATATACATGATAAATATCTTCTTTTCGTCTCTAAGATGATTGTTTTTTCTGTGTACCAAGCTACATGTCATGTTAATGCTAACCATAAGACCGAAGGGAGACTTCCATTTGAAAATTACACATTTCGGTTTAAAACTCACCTGACTTATCACATTATTTTTAGGGGTGGATCGAAATATGTGCAGACAATCGTTCAACATTGAGCTAATTTGAAAGAATGGAACCAATTCTATTACATCAACTTGTTAACACCAAACAGTCACAATCCTCTTCCAATAAATCACGATTGTGCTTTCATTGAGACTCGTCTCAATACACCCTAACACTAATTGTCGTTCGATAGAAAATGTGCAGAACTGTTAACCACCTTAAACACTGTTTAAACTATATGATCCAACTTCTTGGATATTCACTTTTATTACCATAACACTACCAATTTAACAAAATTAAATTACTTGTCTTTAATACTTTGTTTATATAAATCAAAACTTTCAACTGACTAAGTCTATCGATTTTACTCGGGACATCAAACCCTATCAAGCAATTAATTACACCTAGTTGCAAATATCATGATCCTGTAAAACTATATATAAACATTACTCAGGATCATGATCTTTGGGATTGATTCCAATATAATTTGTTATGTTCTGTGTGTTTCTTTACATTAACTAGAGTTTCGATGTACAATACATTGTGATATTTACTGATATTGTTATTTTTGAGTGATCGCAATCTAGACTTTCGTATAGATCTTATTTCACCCTTCTTTCAAAAGAATATATGTGTTTCAATGACTAAAGGCTCATGTACAGCATTGTACTTTGCATCAAAAAATTGGTCAGAAGCCAAAAGTTCTGGAATGAGTCAACCCGCCTCTTAATTTGTTGTTATGTTGGTGTAATTATTATCATAATTGACAATTCAGTCTAAATTATATTTGAATACATTGCCATTATATCCGTGTACTCGTACGATTAGGAACATCAGGGCCAGGCCCGTAGCCAAGGGGAGAAAGGGGGGGCTTGGGGGGGGGGGGGGGTGGCTTTGCCCCCCCTAAATCAAATCTTGCCCCCCCTAGAAAAATGTACCGGTCACTTTTTTAAAATACACCTTTTCTTTTTCCAGAGTCAATAGGAGCGGCAGGTAACTGAGTCTGGGTGAATAGCCAACAGTGGTCATTCTGGTCAGGCATTTTATGGTGGAGTAAGTGCACCAGTCAGCTGCTCTTGCATTGTCGATCATAATTATGTTGAGTATTTCGATATTTTGATTATACGTAACGAAAAATAAGGTTATGGCTTTCAGGGCTGCGTTATGCGGAATGGTTCAACAAAATACTAAGTATTCCTATCTGTAGACCTACTTAAGAACTGTTTTTAAATATCTTTCTGTTTATACTTAGCTGAGGATGAAATCAGACATCATAGCTTTTCATAACATTTTTAAATTTAATTACATTAGAATAAATAATTTGATACAATTAAGTTCGTTGAAAATCATAAAAAGGCTGCAGTAAAGCGTCATTGGTAACAAAATTATTGGTCTGATATTGGATTGTAATCTGTCCCATCTCAAAATTCAAAAGATTTGATTGGTTGATTATAAATACTAATAGACATATATTTTGTAAATTGTATTCATATGAATCAAACAACCAAACGTAGGAAAAATGGATAAATATTTGATCAAAAAAGACAAATTGCTTGATGGTTCCGACACTACTACGACTGACAATGGTATCAAAACCACTGCGGGCAACACAACGGATGCAGTACCAAGATGCTCTGAAAAGACAGGAGTACCAGGTGACATTGGAAAAGAAGACGTTCCAAAGCAACCGAGAATAAAATTTCCAGCGAAGTCTGGTCGCCATTTTAGTAACTGCTGGTATGATCGATTTCCATGGCTGGAGTATTCAGTGTCAAGGGACGCCCCTTTTTGATTTCCATGTCAGGTGTTTCACAATACATCTGCGGGTGAATAAAAATTCACCACTGAAGGCTACACAGATTGGAAGCATGCTGTAGGTGATACTGGAAAGGGTCTCGAGAAGCATAACAATTGAGGTGTCAAAACAATTTCTGCAAGATAACGTTGCCAAGACAGAAAATCAGGACTCCAATCTTGTTCTTCAAAAACTATACGAGCAGAAATTGGCTTTCCCTAAATTATATGCACTGGCTGCAAGCGTCGCCACATTCTAGTACCGCTGTGTGTGAAAGCAGCTTTTCAACTCTTACTCGCGTTGACTCACCACAACGACGATCTATGACTCAGCTTCGCCAGCGCAATCTTGTTCTTCTTGCCTTCAACAGGAAGCGTACCCAGAAAATTAACTTGGACGTATTTGTTCAACGTTTTGCCATAAAACATACTCGACTACGTTTAAACTTAAACAGCAATAAAAATGTAACGTATTATAACTTGTGTGTTTTAACAAAAATAATCTCGAATCTAAAATTCTCCATGAAAGTCCGTTACCCGACGTTTAATCGTCTGTTAAGGTGCTTTGCTAAATTGCCCCCCTCGATTGCACGTTTGCAATCAATTCAAACAATGTCTCAGTGCTGTACACACAAGGAAAACAACTCTGAAACTGTTCATCCGATTATTACCAAAGTCAAAGGCAAAAAAAAGTTGAATGAGATCCCATCAATTATATATACATACACAACAAGTTTCATTAAGATCAGATAAAACCTGTAGTCTCTATCGTGCCTACAAGGCAAATTTGACACGTTTTTAC